CATTGTCAAGAGGACAGATCACTGGTAGATGAGAAACAGATGAGGCAAGAGATGGAAATGTAATATTGCCCCTATTTTATTATAATTAGATATTTATAGAGCACAGATGAGTTTATTTTCATAATTAGTAGCTGGCATTGCATTTACTAATTTGCATAAACAGTTGGCTATCAAAACAGTAACTTCTTTGCAGGGCTTTCTGGTCCTAGCAGGGACAAGAGAGGGCTCAACTCCTCAAACCAGCTTTCTTAATGTTATTATCAGCAAAATACAATCTACATGGAATCACATTTGAGTTCATGTAGCTTGATCATCTCCTTCCAGTTTGGCCAATATTGACTAGTTCAGGACTGGAAGGCAAATGATCAAATCTACATGGGGAAAAATACATGCAAATAAATTGAAAGAGATCTTTAAGTTCTGACAGATTAAAGTAGATCTTAGGGTCAACACTATCTAGTCCAGTAATAAAGAGCTCTGTAAAAAAGGAAAAAGAAAGTAAATGCCACCCTCCGCTGCCCTTGTGATTTAAAATTCATGAAACTTGGCCATTGTTGCAGTCTATTACCGCTCTTCCTGGTCATTCTCAGCATTTGTCATACCCTCCACAAGCATGCCTACCCTACTTTACAAAACCAACTCCACCCAACACGTGGATCAGGCTCCCTGGCAACCGTGCTGAGGGTAGGAAAGTCTCCTGCTCCCTGACCGCTGCTACAGGCAAAGAGAAATTGAATCAGGGATGTGCCAATGACTGCTTCCCACCATTGACGTTCAGTGAGAAATCTTACTCCTTCCTCAAACCAAAGGTCAAAAGCTTGTAGCTTGTGGCCTACAGTGCGTTCATGCATACATACATATATACATATATACTTAAAACGAAAGATGCCATAAACTTATATTTTTAGAAAACCCACTTCTGGCTTTTCTTGAGGATCTCGGGACACTGGGCATGCATTCTTTGTGGCAGCAACTAGCTGGAGGAGAGCAGAGCCTGCTGCCCTTGACGGGATGTGTGCTCCCCCATTTGTCATGGTCCTCACCACTCTCTGTTGGTGATCTCACACCAGGACTTTTCTTACGTGGGATCTGCTCCTTGATGACACCTATCAGGCCCCTGTTGACACTGAGTCCTCAACATCTACCCCAGGTTCAGTTTCAAGGAAAAATATTTGGTGACCTAACCCAGAATGGACAATCCCTAAGTCAATAAGAAAAAGAGGACAGAAACTAAAACACACTCAACATTTAAACAAAGACTGTCAAAATCAGGTCAAAAAAGCTGACCAAGGCGGGTTGCTGTATACCTCCTCCACTCCGCCACTTCCGAGTAGTCACAATGGCTTTTGGCTCAGGGCAGCCCAAAGGCTTCCTGAATGTGGAGATGACCATCACAGCCTATACATATACGCATACATCCCACTCTGTCTCATAGATTTCACATCATGATTCTTTCCATTGTGCTCTCACTGCTTTGCTCCTCAGCTTTGAAGAATGACAAGATCTGAGGCTTTCTTTCCTCTGACAATCTCCTAAGAATAAATCCAAAGACTTCCTGCTTTTATTCTGATACAATCAATCTGTGACCATTTCCCTCTGTCATTTGCACACACAGGGCCAAGAGAAGGCCTGGGTGAGGAGAGAAGTGGAACCACAACATTTGGCCTCAGTCCATGACCCACTGGGACTTCTTGGCTCAGGCAGTTGCGAGGCTGAGGAAGCCAGTGATAAGGGACACAGGTTGGTGTACAATTCTGGACCAAATATGGAGCTAAATGCAGTGTGGGTAACAGAAATAACCAAGATGCAGCCTCTGTCCTGTAGGGAGAGGCTGCCCGAAACACACAAGTAAATTGGATTGAAGGTACTTTGGCACGGGAACTCCGTAACAGAAGCACAAAGTCTGCCACACCTAGGAGGCTTGGCTTTAAAGCATGATAAGGAGAGGAAGGGTATTCCAAGGACATTCAAGAAAGAGGGCAGAGTCCCGGCCAAAGACTAAAGGCAGGAAACCATAATGTGAATTCAGGCAGAGTGAGTTGTTGACTTCAGGAGACAGGGGGCCAGCAGGGGTGAGAGTGTGCAGTGGAAAATATTATAGAAAATTAAGCTGGGGAGGCACATTGACAATTATACAATGAGAATCCTTCAAAAGCTTTTGAACAGATGAGCTACATGATCCGATTTAATTTTAATTTTGCTTTATTTTCACTTTTAGGAAGATGATTGACAGCAGACTAAGAAGGATTAGAGATTTGGAGTCCCTTCCACATGCACCCTACAATGCTACACACATCTGGACATTAACAAATGAATATGTTTGCCTTCCACATCCTTGCCCATCTTGCAGAGCAGAGTGGTCCAGCTCCCCAGTAACTCTAATAGAAACTATTAGAGAGATACATGGAGTGCGAGCTCAGCTCCGAATGCAGCGCTCAAGGACAGACAGCAACGACTAGGAAATGAAATCTCCATGTGATTTCAATGGGCAAAACAAAGGTGAGGAGGAGTGGTTACTGGGGAGAGAAAGAGAATAAGTAAAGCTAGCAGAAGAGGAAAGGTCCAGGAAGGTTTCCCAGTACCCTATTTGGCAACAATTTTGCATCTAAGATTAATAGGAGAGAAGATTAAATGTACACAAGGCCATCTTAGGGACGACTTTGAAAGTGAGACAGCTAATCCTGCATCCCAGATGGAGGACAGCAGAGCGTAAGTAGTTCTCAGTTACTGGACAGCCTGGAAGGGGCTGGAGGACGAATGAGGCTTGGGCAAAAATCAAATAAGGGCTACCTGGGAACTGAACGAGGGTGTTGACAGTAGAGATGCACAGGATATTCCAGAGAAGAATCTCAATAAGATCTCTCAACTGATCACCCAGGACACAGAAAAATTCAGGAAGGATAGAACACGATTCCTGGTTTTTAAGTCTGGGTGATGAGGAGGACCAAGGCACCATGAACGAAAATTGGGACATCACAAAGGGAGGGTTATGAAGGTTGACTTTAGACACACTGAGGTCACAGCAGTGGAATATTTATAGGGACCTGTGTTACAGAGAATGCAAAGTGGCAGGCTGGAACCTGAGACAGGTCCGTGCCAGGAAAGCAGCTGGGAGGGACATCCGTGGAAGGCATCCTTGGATCTAAGGCCGTAGGAGCAGAGGTTAGGGGCCCAGATTCTTTTCCACTTAGTAGCCAACTGACATAAGCAAACGTAGCTCTCTGAGCCTTGTACTTCTCCACAAAGCCGCAGTAACACCATCACCTACCTTATACAGCAGGTGTGGGGATTAAGGACAATAAGGCATAGAAAGCACAGGGCACTAGTTGCTGGTACAAAGGACATGCTCAGAGGTAGCAGCAGTATCCAGAGAGAGAAAAGAAGGTACCCATGTGCAAAAGCAAGGAAGATCTATCTTATGGAATGGTTTAGGGGATTACAGAAAGAAAAGGAGAGATTTGGAGGCATGGGAAGGGAAGAAGACAGGAAGACTCCCTCTTGTGTATTCTCGCAGAAGCCAGTGAGAAGAGGGGCAGAGGACACACAGTTAACATGCTTCAGAAGGGCTGAGTCCTGGGAAAGGATTGGTGGCTTTGCCTCTGAGGAGATCTCTGGCAGCCTCTGGTTGAACAAAGCAGAGAAGCAGTAGGGGCAGACATAGATGTATGCTTCCACTCAGCCTTCCTCTTCCTCTTCTCCCTTTCCCACCTCCTTTCCAAAGGCTCTAAGTTCATAATGGGGTAAGGGTTCCCCGTGACAAATTTCTGAAAATGAGCCCTCCTGTGATTAGTGTAAAAAGAATAGGCAATCAGCTGACTCCAAAGTGGAAAGACCCAAACTGCTTCCAAGGTAACCATACATAACTTTAAAAATCCAGAAAAGCATAAAACTCAAAAGAGAGATGGCCCGTTCACAGACCCGAGTCAAATCAGCATGTTCAATAAGCTGTCAGCCCCTTCCTTCTTCAACATCCTCATGCCAGAATTCGCATTTCCTATTCCTGTGATTTGCCAGTCTTTGCAGGAAGCAGCAGTACACAGCTCCACGGAGATAGGGCTGGAGAGTGAGGAGGGAAGAGAAGAGAACCGGACGTAGATTCATATTTATAATTTATCAGTTCAACTCTCCCTTCGCTGCTGCCCAGCTAATCCAACGTGAGCTGGTGAGTCATGTGCTGGGGTTCGGGTCTCTGACAGCTTTGACTGAGTGAGCTGTGCTCTCCCCAAAGGTGTGACGCCGAAAGCCCCATCAGAGCACTGGAGCAAGCCCACCCTCTCTGTGCCTGTTCTTTTCCCTGCCTACCTGGCAAAGGTAGACTTTGGAAGTGACAGTCCAGTGTTACCTTTCTCCATGCTCTTCCGATGGAGTACACTGTCATTCCTGTGTCCTTCCACAGCTCTGTTCGGTCCCACCCTTCTTAGCCCATTGCCCCCAGTCAGGACATTTCTACTCCCCCAAATGCAAGAAACACAGAAGAAAAAACAGCAATACATACGTATCCCCCAAATTTCACATTAAATTTCAAGCAATACACCAATCCTCTCCCCTTTCTTATCATCCTTCCCTCACAGATGATGGTCTCGATTCCAGGTGTCTCAAGGAATGGAAACATCAGTATGGCATCTCACATCTCCCCTGTTCCTCTGAACACTGGCCGGGAGAGAATCTCAGACAATTCCACATTTAAGTGAAATAGTTCTGCATAACTACTTCCAGAGTCCCCAGTTTCTGCTAGAAATAGCATGTCATAATGGATAAGTCCCATCCTGGATTCAGAGGGAGGCAGGCCAACTCGGAATGAACCCCAACCACCAAACATGAAGTGCACTAAAGGGAAATGATAGCATTGGCTTTTTATTTATTTATTTGTTTAGTTGTTGTTAAAAGCACTCAGTTATAATCTGGACTGTATTCATCAGAATCGACAATTCCCCTTGGAGGCATGAATATTGCAGAAGGCAGATTGATAGTTATAATGAGAAAAATAAAATCATCTCTACCTTTACTTCTACCTACAGAAATGAAGTGGAAGGTCCAGTTAAGTAGAGGAAGCATGGTGTCCACCACGGAGGCGGTGAGAGAAAGAGAGAGAGAGAGAGAGAGCAGGGAGAGGAAAACATCAGCACACTGCAGACACACAAATAAATATAACAGACACCACAAAAACTCACAACAGTAAAAGCAACAGCACTACAATATCTTGAGAAAGCAGCACAAGACAAATGCACAATGTGAAGCCTAAACAAGCCAAAACAGCTTTGCCAGCTGCCCTCACCAGCTTCACGCTTAAGCTTTTCCCATTTATTTCTTCCCAGGCCCGTCCTTAGAAACATGGTCAAGTCTGCATGCAAGAGCACTGGGCAGCCACATGTATGTGAAACTGAACACACTTCACCGACGTAAACTTGGTTTGGGAAAGTCTCAACAAAGCCAAGTTCTCCGGTGGCATTTTCCCACCGTTAACATGAGTCACGGCGACCAAGAGTGTCACATACATGTATAAGTGGTGCACACATACAACACAGGTAAGTATTCCTGGACATACTTTTGGGCATCAGAAACCAATGCTGGAGATTCAGTGGGAACCAGAGAGAAATCTTTCTTTCATGGTGAAGGAAGAGGGGAAGAAAAGCAGTGGAGGTGGGAAGCAGAGTTGATTTCTTGGGCAGTCGTCACAGGGTAAGAACAGAGAAGGGAGTGGGATGGGGAAAACATGAGTGGAGGGGGATGCAGTCAAAGAACCTTCCCCAAAACAGATTAAACTGCAAGTTGCAACTTAAAAACTTAGAGACACTGACCACCCAGAAGAATTCTGCATCCTTTCTTGGAAATCTCTTTAACGAGGAATTCGTGGTATCTGCTGTGTCTGTCATTCTTTCATTGCTTAAAGACTCTATTTCTAGAAAGTGCTGGACTTAGCCCAGAGCATGCATACATGGGTATGTGTGAATTCTCTGCTCAGATACACATCATGCTGGGGCCCAAGAGAAACTGAGGAGGGGGTGGGAGAGTGCAGGGAGGTAGATAATACAGATTCTCCACATTGTTGTTCAGACCAGTGTGGAGACTGAGCTATGTGGGAACTTGCTATCAAAGTCAGGCCAATCAGATTCCAGTAATTCAAAGAGCCTGGGGCATCCTGGTTTGCAGAGAAGTGCTTAACTTTCCCAAACTCCCAGACAATAGGCTGACATCAAGTGCATCCTCTCTACTCATATGTACTTCATAGTTAGCTGCTGTCAGCAGATAACTTCCCTCATCCTCAGACAAGGATAATGAGGCTTTATCCCACTCTCTTCCAGAGCTCCATCTAACACTGCCGAACTCACCTGACCTCCTGTCTCCAGCTCTGTTCTTTGACATTCACTCTATCCCAGACCATATCTTCATTGAAAGTCGAGTCCACATTGTAGATCTTGGCTAAGCTCCGGAGGATTCAATTCTACTGGGAAGGTGTGCTTCCTTGTTACACTGTCTTGTCAAGTCAGGATGCCCTCAACTGCCCACCACCACAGCTCCCTGGACATCATAAGCAAACTTCTCTCAGCCCTGGGTGGTTTGTTGATCTGAGCATACTCCCCTTTACGGCAACACCAACTGATGGGTCCAGTGTAATTGAACAGGAAAGGAGAGTAACCCTTCAGGATTGTCCCACCCTCCTCAAAGTATCAAGAAAAACCAGACAACATAGATGGACCCCACCTTGCCCTTTTCTTTGGTCCTCCAAAAGAGGCACCATAGTCCCATGAGTTTTTTGCAAAGAAACAGGTAAGAAAAATTGAAGTACAGTCTTTGGGTGTCAGGGCAAGGCAGGTAGACCAATCTGGCAATCATCCCAAGGCTCAGAAGAAACACAATAGTAGCAATTGAACAGTGAAGGAAAAGACAATTTTAAGTAGGCTCAGTTCTCAAATCCTGATTTAGGCTGATGATGTGGAAAATTTTTATTTAGGAGAAAAAGGCTTCATTCACAGCCCACCCTGTGCTTAGCTGAGCTGAATTTCCTGCACAGCTCATTCCCTGCATATTTGAATATTTTAGGTTGCAGATGCTGAATTTACAGATCTTTATATGCAGTTTTCTTCAGGGTGTATAATGAGTTAGAATCCTGCCATGAAGACATTAGCATGTTCTTTGGGTGGTTTTTGCTTTTATATAAAACTGAAAACAGTCAAACCCCCAAGGGTTTCCTTTGACCATGTGGGGCTGAAAGTCATTACAATGGGCAGTGGGATGGAGGGGAAGACAAAAAGCAAACCTTTACTCAGAGTGAAAATCAGGGAGAAGCCCAGCTCCTCTCCTCCAACCACAGGGCCCCCAGCATGGGGCCCGGGGAGGAGCAGGAGGAAGTTAACCGCTCTGTTGCTCGGAAATTAGCTCCATTCACCCCCATTATCGACGCCGTCATGCCTTGTTTCATGCTTCTCTCTTGGAGGCGGCCCGGCAGGGCCAGAGCCCGGGATGACAAATGGTGGTGCAGAATGGACAAGCCAAGGGGATGATGGGGACAGGAAACCAAGATGCATCGGGAATGGTACCCCCCCACCCCAGGGTGGCCTGCTGCCAGCCTGGCCCACAGCAGGAGGGACAGGCAGCAAACGGCCTGCCAGCGACAAGGAGACTCTGAGCGGCCAGCCAGAGGCATGAAGGCAAGCAATTCCGGGCAGCTGCAATGTTGCGAGCACCAAGCACCTACCTTGTTCGCTCATCATGAGATGGGACAGGCCTTGAGGAGGGAAAAGAGGACGGAAGGGGTGAGGAGGGGAAGGGAAAGGAAAAAAGAAAGAAGACAAAGTTAAAATTCTCAACGCAAAGCAGTCATCTCTTAGTTGTCAAGTGGAAGGAGTGGCAGGCCTTCACACACACTCAGGAGCACACACCGAGGCTGAGAAGCCGGGCCACTCAGTGGCGGCCCTCCGTTGGAGGACAGCCTTTTGTTGGCTGGACTGCTCAGGGCCTCCTCATGAGAGCCTTCCTCTCACCACACTGCTCCATGCGATGCTTAGGTTTGAAATAAATCTATTAAAAATTAGGTCCCTTGGGAAGGAGACTCAAGAGGTGAGGCCAAGCACATCTCCTTCTTTCTTTTAAATGGCTTTTTGCAGTAATACATGGTCACTGTAGCAACACTGGAAATTTCAGAAAAGAAAAAAGAAAAATCTTTTGTAATCCCACCATCCAGAGGTTCCTGCCCAATTTTATTTTTTAGGTACTGTATTCTCTTCTCCAAAAATGGAATCATGCTGGACATATTAAATGAGTTCGTGCTTGCAAGGGCTTCTCAGACAGCCTGAAACTACCTCCCCCTCTCACCTTTTCTTAGCCCAGGGACAACCACACCCCTGCCCTCCATGGCCTCCCCCGCCCCCTCCCCTACCACCTAGTCTCAGAAGGTCTCCTGCCCTTGATCAGGGAGATGGAGCCCAGCACTGAATGGGTTAAAGAAGGTACACAAAGTCCCAGTGAACAAACAGCACAACCTCTGACTATGTTCTTAAGGAAGTCAAACAAGGCTATTAAGAGCTCATTATTTCAGGGGAAGTAAGCTCTGATAAATCTATTAAAAGAAAAGATTTCCAACCAGTATCCAGAAGCACCAGTTTGCTCTCCCATTGCTTTTATTATTTTGACAAACTCCAAGTCACCCCAGAGAACCTTTATCCAGAGTGAAATTCAGGGATATACAGGATTAATAAAGGAGAAAAAAAAAATCTCTGAAGTATAGAAATCCCCAAATGTTTTTGGAGATTACAAGAGATTTAGAAAAGTAATCAGAGGAAAATATGGGTCAAGCAACTGACTTTTAAAAAGATCAATGATATATTAAATACATAGATACACATGCCGTAAATGTCGTGGAATCTAGTTTTTAAACAAATTTCATTAAACTATAATCATATTTTAAATGCCCATTTCTGGCATTCCTTTCTCAAGGCCCTGGATTAACACTCACAGAGGAATGGAATCATGCCAAAGTAAGTCGTTCTCATGATTTGTTTAGTTTAAAAAAATTTTTTGGCCTTTTTTGAGAAAAGATGGTAAGGAGAGAGAACAAAGGGCCCTACCTTTGGCTAAGAGAAACCTCAGCAGTGTCACTATTCCTCAAATGCCTGGTATTTCTGGACCAAGCCAGAGCCCTCAGCATCCAGATCAAGAGCACTAAAGGGGAGAGAGAGGCTAGGGCAGCCAGGTAGGGTGTACGGAAAGATGGCTAATTCACAGGAGGGTTGTAAGAACTAAGAAATGAGAATAAGAAGATCCAAGGAGATACCTAAGAGTAAAAGAAGGGGGGTAAAAATGAAAAGAAAATAATACTGTATTATGTATTTGCAAGGTGCTAAGAAAGTACAGTTTAAATGTTCTCACCACAAAAAAACAAACAAACAAACAAACAAAAAACAGGGATTCTCTGACAGGATGGAGAGGTAAACACTCTGGTGGTAATTGTTCTGCAGAATTTAAATGTATGAAATCAACATCTTGTACACCTTAAACCTACGCAGTGTTATACATCAATTCTATCTACATACGGCTGGGGGGTGTAGTTTACATTTTTTTTTTTTTTTCAAATTCAAAAATGAAAGGACAAACATTTCATATTCACAATGAAAGATGTTTAACAGCTCAGAGAAGGAGAAGCGGTATAGCCTTTTCCTTTTTTGACTCAAATAGAGATTTCAAAAAACATACTGAATGAAGAGTAAACAGGACAATTGGCCTAAGGGGCATGAGAAGCCCTGGAGAAGAGGAGCCCCGTCTAGGGGCTGCATGTGTTTCTTTAAAGCCGTGTTTCCCAAAGCGTGTTGCACTGACCACCTACATCAACAACCTAGGGATGCTTCCTAACAGTGAAGATCCTGAGCCCCAACTGAGGAATCTAATACCTTAGAATCTTGGGGAAGAGTTTGGGGAAGGATCTGAATTTTAAGCAAGTTGCCCACGTGATTCCCATGTTCACCATGAGTTGCATATAAATCAAATTTTGGTAAATTAAATTGTATGATAAATGCACTAAGAGGAATTGGTTAATGGAGCCCTTTAGTGGATCCTTTTGTAAAAGAAGGAATACTTTTAAAATGCAAATAACCCACCACCTGTGTTTTTTAAATTCAAATATGTACTTATCAGGCTTTATTAAGCTACATATGTAGCTGCAGGATTGCAACTCCAATGTTCATATTCTTAAACTTATGAGAATCTTAAATAGAAATATTAGGCCAATGCAGATCTGGGATCCTGATGTTAAAACTGGTTTTGCAGGCAATGAAGGAAAATGGACAAGAAACAGGAAGGTGAGAGGGAGAAACGATGCAACCATAATATGGGTTAAGTTTTGCTTTTGGAGAAGGAAATTTTATTCCCCTTTGAAGCGCTTTTACATCAGTGCCTGCTCTTGTCCAAATCTATCCTCAAAGCTTACAGAATTAAGAACTGGAAGTCAGGAATTCCAGAGTATCTAGGTCTATTCTGAAATTATTTCTGTCCCCTTCTATCCCCAGACACTCCTCCCTGCTGTTGAAAATCACAGGTGCCCCCTCCAAATGAATGGAAGAACCAACAATCCACCAACCACGTGATTCAAGCACCTGCCATATGCAAAGACTGGATGAGGTAGTGGAGATACAGAAAGTATGATAGACAGTCACTAACCTCTAGGAATTCGGAGTCTAAGTAGGAAGATGTTATATGTTTATATTTACATAAACATGCATACGGTATATATTACTGGCACCTAAGAGTGAAGTATAGGGGTTAAGATCAAGGACTTCAGAGCCAGATTTGAACCCTACTGCTATGACTGCAGTAAAGTTGCTCAACATCTCTGCACCTTGATTTCCCTTTCTGCAAAATCTAGATAACAACAATGCCAAATTCATAGGTTGTTCTGGGGATTAAATAAGTGAATATACATACAACTGGGCTTGAACATGGTAAGGGCTTTACAAGGGTTATTATTTTTATTTTTATTATGCCATAAAAACACACTGATGTGTGGGCCAACAGCGGGCACAATGCCTGACACACAGTTGGTGCTCAGTACCTGTTTGGTGACTGAATGAGGAATGAATGAATGAATGGGTCATTCCTACTTGTCAAATGATGAATTCAGGCAATAAAGACCACAGGACTATAAGGAGGGCCCTGGATGTACAGGAAAGGTTTTAGGAGGAAAGTGAGATTTGAAACAGATACTGGAAGATGGTTTAGGATTTAGAGAGATGGAGGACACTCCAGGTAGCACCACCAGCTCCCAGGACCACAGAGTGAATTTGTAAGGACTTCCCTATTCAGTGCTCCCGGAGCACCTAGGACACTGCCAGGCACATGGTTGGCGTGTAATACATGCTATTCAAATAATAACAGACACATATAAACAGTTCATATAAGGAAGAAATGAAAGGTGATCTTAAGGATGAGAATAAGAACCACTGTAGGAAGGCCTTGAATTTCAAGGCTAAGGAAAATGGACTTGATCTTACAGCTGATGGGACACAGTGAGGGTTCATGGTCAGGGGAATGACCCAGGGAAAATGATGTTGAGGAAGATTGCTTTGGCAATGGTGCGGACAGGATAGATGAGAGGGAAAAGAGACAGAGGCAGAAAGATCAGCCACAGGCAGAGGGTCTAGATTAGAATCATGGTAGTGGGGAGGAAAAGGAAAAAGAGGATCCAACAGGCTTTGGGTGACCAATGAGATGCTTTGGGGGAGGCGTGGATGGGAGGCTGAGTGAACATTGTCAGAAACAGGAAGGTGGGGTGGGGTGGGAGATGAACGGGGGGCGAGGGCAATGATGAGTTCTGTTTTAGGCACGATGAGTTGAGGAAACAGAAGAATCACTCAAGCAAAAATATCTACGATGTATCTTAAAATGTAGGACTAATGTCTGTGAGAAAGTCAGGACAAGTATCAGGGTGTATCACAGCCACTTCCTGGAAGAAGGTAAGTCAATGAACCCTCCAAGAAAAAGGGGCTCGTGGACTGAGTCTTAACTGGGAGAGATGGGACAAGTATTAAGGTATTTTGGAGGTTCTTTTTTTCCCATCGTATTCAACATTAAAATAAAATTTTATATTCAAAAAAGAAAAAGGAACTATGTGGCTTTCAAATATAGATACAGAAAATAATGCTCAAAAAATCTTAACTGAGAAGGATATAATTAGTAAGGGAAAAAAAGGAATCTATGCTGGGTGTGTGTTATCTGTGTGGCTGATGAGGAAGGGGGAAAAAGGAAGATTGGCCTTCCCATCAACCACAGAAACAGAGGGTCAGCTGCAGCCCTCTAGACTACATAGCCGGCCCTGGGACTAGCATCTGGCTGGGTCTGGAGTTTGGCATTTATTCTGGGTGTGATGCTCCAGAGAAGAATGGCCTGGAATAGGGACTCAGGGAAGCAAAAGGGACAACATCTTTCACAACAGTCTCACCATGGGCTCTGGATTTGAATAAATCCTCAACTAAGACTCAAAAGCCAGCTCCATAAAAGTTCACCTACTGGAGGAGGGTAGGGAACAGGAGGTAGACTCAGAAGAGCCTTTGACAGGTGGGATATCAAGAATTGCCAAAACTGAATTCCTGTGGAACTATAATGCCTTAAAAAAAAAAAAAAATTACTTGGGGCGCCTGGGTGGCTCAGTGGGTTGAGCCGCTGCCTTCGGCTCGGGTCGTGATCTCAGGGTCCTGGGATCGAGTCCCGCGTCGGGCTCTCTGCTTGGCGGGGAGCCTG